GCGGCCGTCCAAGGCAGCCAAAGGAAGGCACGGCTTCCTGGGTGCCGCTGGGAGCCAGGCTGCGTGCGGAGAGGACAATCCTTGGGGTCACCTACGGTTTGAAAATGTTGGCCGTTACGTCTCAGGATAAAGGAGCCTGTGAAAGAACTGTGTTTCTTGTTACAACGAGTATGGTTACAAGTATTTTAACATTTTTCTACTATTCTCTATGATGCTGAGAACTGACTATACACTGAAAGAAGATGCAAAATCCAATTTAAAATGATACTTTAAAATGGCACATTGCGATTTTTCTCAGCCTCTTCACCTCCAAGCAGACGTAGGAGGTGAGGAAGGAGATCTCGAGTACCACACCAAACCCGAGCAGCCCGGAGCATCTCTCGGTGCCTGCCGCCGCCCCACCACGGCACCGCAGCTCCACTGGTGCCCGAAGCTGGGTCCTCGCTCTCCACCGTGCCCTGGGTGGAGAAGGAGCCAGCGGCTTTCTTCCCTGTTTTAATTATCCCCCATTTTCTGGCTTTTGCTTTCTCAAAGGCTGTTTAGTGGTTCTGCGCGCCCCGCAGCGCTCCCCTCCCCAGCTCCCGGGGCTCCGGCTCTCTGTGCTGCCGTGTCGGTCCTGCGCTCATCACCGCTCCCGCAGCAGAGTACGACCTCTAGCAACTGCTGTTCCGAAGACATAGTCGTGCAGTGGTGGTGGTGTCTCATGCCATACGGTGCCGTATGAGTTGTCCTCGATGTTATCACGTCTTGTTTGTGTCGTAGTCGTGCGTGAGGGCCGGGGCCAGCGAGCGGTTTGGCTGTGCTGGGCCACACAAGACCATCCTTCTTCAATGGCTGCCCGTGTCCCAGGGCAAGGACCGAGCCCCCGACCCCTGCGGGCCCTGGTGCCGGGGTTGCAGGATGGCAGGGGAGCTCCGGCCCCGACCGAGTCCTGCGGGAACCCTGCTCGCAGTGCTGGAGCACGCAGATCGGTTTTGCCCAAAACTAGAAAGAAAGAAGTTGCAGAGGGAAGGAGGAGCTCTGCACTAGTTGTTAGTGAAGTGCCGTAATTAATCATTTCTGATACCTTTTTGTATTGAGCTGCCCAGCAGCTGCGTGTTTGCTAAGGCAGGTCCCTGAGGTGCGTGGGGAAGGGGTGCCCAGCACCCAGCAGCCAGCTCGGCCAGGAGCCCACCGGGCTGCAGGGCTCACCCCGAACCCCGAGTGACGCCTGCTGGCTTGTGGTTAATGCCAGGTATTGCAATTAAGAGGCTTTTTATCAATTTCATGTGAGGAGCGGTCATTTTTAATCAGCAAATTAGAGAAATGAGAAATATTATCTTAAAAAAAAATGGCATAAAGGCGAAGGCCAATGTGCTCTGTACATTTTTTGCTGCGGGCTCCCAGCGGGAGAACGCACTGCCGGACCCGGCGTGGCTGCTGCTGCACGGCGCTTACGTGACACAACTACTTTAAATCAGACGGCGTCGCAAGTAAACACTGCTTAGCCTAAGCAAACGTGTTCCCGTCCGTGCCCCTCGTCCGTCTCCAGGAGGCCGTGTCCGCAGCGGGGATGCTCAGCCCGGGGCGCGGTGGTTCTCCGCGCATCTCCCCGGCGATGCCGCGCGCCTCGTCGGGGTAGTTTTTTAATTTGTCATAATTTATTTTTTTAAATTTGATTTCCCTTCATAAGCACAACGAACTTGGGAAGTTGCCCACAGCTGGAATTTCTGTTCTCCCCACGACTTGCCTCCCCAGCCCGTTTCCCACGGCTGTGCTCGGGGGGGGCTGGGGCACCCCCCTTGCCCCCAGCCCCAAGGGCACCGGGGACGCAGCGCTGCGTGTGCCCCCAGGTTGCGGAGGGGATGGCGACAGAAAGGTGCTTTAACGCCTGGTATCTTAACTTGGTCTTGCTTAATTTAAACAAACGGATCGTCCCTCTCAGTCCACCCCGCTCGCAGCGAGGTCCTGTGCTGGCTGAAGGCAGCAGACCCTGCTGGGTGGTCTCTGGGGGGGCCCCCCAGAGCTCTGCAGCCCTCTCTACCCCCAGCGAGGGCCGGGACACCCGTCAGCCCCGGGGCAGAGCCCCGGCCGCGGCGGCGGCTTTCCAGAGGCACAAAGAGGCAGAGGAGTGCAGAGGAGGAAGCACAAAAACAACTGCAAAGGTTCGGAAATGGGAATACAGAAAAATTACTGACAGAGCGCCATATTATATCATTGATTTTTAAGCAAAACTCCCCATCGATTTTTCAGAACCACATTGAACATTTCAGAATCATTGATTTTAATAGGGAGTTCTGCCCCAAAATCGATGGTGCGATACAGCCCAAAGTAAATTGCTTCTTGGTATCAATATTTTTGGTCCGAGCAGTTGCAATGTGGAAAACCATCTTAAAATGTGCATCTTTTGGTTTTGCCTGTTTTCTTAGACGCTCTTTGGATTCTGCTTTCACAGAGAGCAGAGAGGGGAAGGGCAGCTTGTGCCGAGTGGCGGGACCAGCAGCGACCCGGGGTGGGCTCTGCTCCCCCGGGCCGGGAAAGACCCTCCTGACGCCTCGCGGTCAGACCGGGCTCTTTCCCAAACCCCC